CCCGTCCACCTTCTGACGGTGTCTGCCTCCGCGCACAAAAAATGAGATGGGCATCGCTGCCTACGCCGACGGCCAGAGGCCCGCGCATCTACATTTTTTCGCCTGACCCCATCAGTGCCGACCCAACTACACCACCACGCGCATGCCTCGCGGCGGATATGCGCAGCAGCAAGAAGGTTTCGGTCATCCCTTGAGGGTGAATCTAGCCCTGCTCGCCAGAAAGACCCCCCCCTTCACTACAACCCATGTCTAAGCAAAAGCTTGTCGAGGAGCGAGGGGAAGAAGGGAGAAGTATTATCATGAGCTATTTAATGGTACTCCGTAGGATGTGTCTGTATGCGATTGACGTTACTCGGCCTTTTTCGGCTGTGTGTCATCGGACAAATAGAATTTATTGGAGTTTTTTTTAAGTGTGACGGCCGTCGAAATGTGGTTTCAAAACGCACGACCCGGTCCAACGGACCTGTGCACCGTACGATTAGAATACCTTTGGTGAAATTGGGGGGTACAACATACCTCGTGTCTCCCGTGGAGAGTTGACCCCCCCGCACCGCGGCCAAGGATAAAGAAGGTATCTAAATCGATGTTGAAACGATTAGGCTTCAATGAGGACGTACGTAAATGGACCACGGGATGCGGGGAAGGACTGAGGGTCAATTTAGCAGTGGGGAGATATTGCCCTTCGAGAACGTACACGAAGATTTAGGAAGCTAATGTAGATAGCACGACAACGACATGTTCAAATGTGAATGCGGCTCCGAGTGCGAAGACTGGGTTCATGTAGTTGCAGAATATCCGCTGTGCTATCTAGGAGGAGAGAGTGTCATGACTGAGCTGGGAAAAGTAGAAAGAAGGTGCACAAAGAGAGAGGCAGGAATAGCCAGGAGAAGACGGTGGCTAGACTGAGGTTTGAGGAAGTGGGCTCAAGAGGAGGGAAGTGATACCGATAGGATAAACTAGAAAAACAGTTTTGAGCCACCTTTCTTTGGCAAAGTAGATCGACCATGGGTGATCGGTCCTGTGGGAACAATGTTCCGTCCTCTCGAGGATGCTTGGTCAATGGTCCTAGCCGCTAAAGCATGCATGACATAAAGAGTACCGCCCCCCGAGAGGTTGCCGAGAATTGTATGGGAGGCGAAGTGGGCACACAAAAAGAGGGGTAGACAACCCACGGAATGGGTCAAGGTTGTAGAGGACGTATGGAAGGGGTTCGACATCGACGAAGATGAAACGCTGGAATCGGAGAGTCTACAGGGGTTCAAGGAGAAGATATCTGTTGCTCGTGCCGAGAGTCAAAAACAGAATCTAAGGAAAGAATCCAAGGATAAGGAGGGTCTTGAAGTGTACGGAATGTTGAAGGAAGGAAAAGGGTTGAAGGATTACCTACATGGGCCAGTGGATGCAGGAACAAAGCTAAGGTCGAATTCAGGACCGGGGATGTAGACCTTCGAGAACGTCGACGAAGACATAGGACGGTAGACGACGAAGACGACGAGTTCAAATGTGATTGCGGCTTCGAATGCGAAGACCGTGTTCATGTAGTCGCGGAATGTCCGTTGTACAAGAAGGAGAGGGAAGTGTACGTCACTGAGGTGGGAAAAATAGATGGGACGTACAGGGAGATGTGTGAGGCATGGAATAGAGAGGAAAGGACGGTAGCTGTACTGGGGCATAGGAGGTGGGTTGAAAAGGCGGGAAGGGATATCGTTAGGATAGACAGACTAGGGAAGACATTTTTGAGCCACCTTTGGCAAAGTNCGTGGTCAATGGTCCAACCGCTAAGGTAGTGGACAACATAAGAGTACCCCCGCCCCCCTCCCCCCCCTCCCTATGCATCGCTCGAAACCCCCCAAAAAACAGCGTGGGCGTTCTCAATGAAACGTGGTCCTCTAGCTCGGTGCTCATGGCGGGAGAGGTGATCAAACTTGTCTTCTCGACCGTGATGACGCTGGCGGACTCTGGTAGCACCTCCGCTGAAGGTACCGGCGTCAGAAAGCTCGCTTGGTTGGTGCGGGCCTCGCCACCGATGTGCATACCCGCGGTGGTCTTCTTCGTGATGAACCTGCTGAGCTACGTGTCGCTCAAGCGGGTCGACGCTAGCACCTTCACCGTTTGCGCTCAGGTACGCGGGGTGTGTGTGCAGTGTTGGCGGTGGTGGGGGTTGTTGGGCTTGAGAGGCGGCGGCAGCGAGCACCGCAAAGTGTGTGCACACTGCAATATTGCATACATGTGGAGACTTGTTGGACGGACGGAGACAGGGGGCTCCGCAGCCGTTGTTTTGTGTATCGCCGCCGTCAAGGACGCGAGAGTACGCTGTTTACCGCGATGGAGGGATACTGCTGATTCAATTGCAGCGGATTGTGCCGCTGCGTGGGCAATTCCGCTATTCAGGGTGCTGCTTGTACATCGGAGTATCCACGCGGTGTGTTTGTGGCAACCGGAGGGACGGGCACGCATGTTTTCGGAAGCGTCGTATCGCTTTCGCTGTGTTGCATGTGATTCTTGTGACCTTGGCCTGCTCCAAACATTCTTCGCTACATCGCGAGTCAACCAAACTACATACCACACCCCGCTGTTGCCCCCCTCCCACGGGGTCACCGCAGATGAAAATCCTGACTACCGCCATCTTCTCGGTCGTCCTAATGGGCCGCAGCTTCCACGCTCGCAAGTGGCGAGCCCTTGTCCTTCTGGTGCTTGGCGTCACCCTAGTGTCGAACGGCTCTTACGTGTCGGCTGGAAAGGAGGATACGAAGGGCGTCGGGTGGCAGTACGTGATCGGCGTGGCGGCGGTTCTCGCGGAGGTGAGGGAGAACTTTGATTTGTGCCGCATTTTGTTTTATTTGCTTGGTTGGTGATTGATGCCCCCATATCGCGCGGAGTTGCGGGATGACTCACCTTGGGTGACGTTTCGGCTTTGGCCCTGATGCCCTGATGCGGTTCAACGTTCAACGTTTCGTCGTTTGTTTTGTTTGCCCGTGAGAGAAATGCCTGCGTCACGCATCAGGTGTGTCCGTGGCAAGTTGCATTCTTTGTGTGCAGCGTTAGCTCATACTATTATGAGCACGTTGTCCTTGCTTTGTGCCTTGTCTCGTTTACCCTGCATCGAGCAACTCGTCATCCCGCTCGCCGACACGGGACACTCAACTCATGAATTTGCTTCAACGTGTTCTGACAATAGTACGGGGGAAGTGTCCTTGCAGTCGTACCTGCGACGCCGCTGTTGTTTTTACGATGTGCGGGGCGCCGTGCTTCTTGTTGAAGACATGGTGCCCCTAAAGGAGGAAGGACATGTGTCCTTAATCACCAACTTGTGGCTGTTTTTCTCGCCGTGGAGATCGTAGGATAGCACTCGTCTATTCTCCGTGTTTTCACTTTTTGGTGCCGCTCGTTGTCCTTCGTGACCCTACAGTTGACCCCTTTAAGGACGCACATGGTTTTTTCCCGAGAAGAAGCGTCCTGGACCGCCGGTAGATGAGAGGAATCTATCCATTCCAACACCCTGTTACAGCTGCAGCACCAGACCGCTTGCTACTTCTGCTGTCTGTGCGTCGCTACTACTGCACTCACTCGTGCAAAGAGCGGCCCGCAGGACATAGAAAAGGGGGTTACGCGACAGAAAAATGAGAGCAACCCATTATCGTACATTCTGGCGGGCGCCCTGGTGCTCAGCAAAAAGTTTCCTTGAGGCGGGGAGTTTCCTGAACGCGAGCGTCCTTAAAGAGGGGTCGACTGTATTTCTATCTTTCTTGAGTTTTTCTCAGCATGTCAGTTGTTCCGCTCTTGTGCTCCTCCGTTACCTCTCAGCTCTTTTTCTGCGTCTTCTGTTTCCGTTCCTCATGCATGCAATGCGATGCGATGGTAGGTTTCTCTGTCCGGATTCGTAAGCGTGTTCTTCGAAAAGGTGCTCAAGAGCCGAGTCGTGAACCTGTCGGTATGGGACCGCAACTTCCAGGTGAGCCGCATCGCAAGGACAAGCGCCGGCTTTTTTTTTCACCGTAGACAACCACACAGTACACAGTAGCAGCAGCACCATCGGTGTGTTTTCGGGCCCGCTTACTCAGCAACTAGATCGGAGACCACCTTGCTTTTGGGACCCTCGGCTTTGCGTACGATTGCGGAGTGCGCACTCTGCGTGCGTGGGAGTCATAGGCAAACACCCGCCCCCCCCCCTTATGATATCATTAGGATAGATAGACAAGGGAAGACATTTTTGAGCCACCTTTGGCAGGGTAGAAAGGAACGATTAGCCATCGGTGATCGGTCCTGTGGGAACAATGCGCCGTCCTCTCGAGGACACGTGGTCAATGGTCCTAGCCGCTAAGGCATGCGAAACATTACGTCCGCCCCCCTTCTGTTCCATTCGTCCAGCTGGCGATGTACTCGATCGTGTTCTACCTCCCGATGGCGCTGTGGGAGGAGGGGCCGCTGTTCCAGGGTTGGACCGTCAACGCCGGCATCCTGTCTGTCCTCGGCAGCGCCGGCGGCATCCTCGTGGCCCTCACCATGAAGTACACGGATGCCGTGCTCAAAACGTTCGCCACCTCGGGGGCGATCATCGTAACCGCCGTGGGGGGACACTTCACCCTGGGGTCTCCGCTAGACATCCCGATCGGAGTCGGGGCCGGCTGCACCGTGCTGTCGCTGCTTAACTACAGCGACGACGGAGCCCCGGTCGCCGCCCCCGATACCGGCAGTGGTGGAGGGAGCAACGGGACTGTGGCGGCGAAGGGGTCGCGGGGGGGTGACGCGGATGGTGATGATGAGGCCGGGCTGTCGCTCTTGACCCGGACGGGGGCCTCGAGTGAATCCACTGCCTGAGGTGGGGGTGTTGGTGAAGAGTGCGGTGTATGATGACGGTTTGCCGGCATTGTTTTGCGCGTGTGCGGTGTGGGTCAACCCTGTCGTTGTGGGAGCGCGAGGCCGCTCGCTCACCCCCCACGCCCGCCTCGAACTACAACACAACCGTCGTCGTTCTGTTTGGTTCGGCTTTGGTCGAGAGCATCTACTGCACCTTGGTGTGTTGCGATTCCAAGATGTGTTGGGTGAAGCCACCGGAACGGCTCGCACCAAGTATCACAGGGTGCGATGATTAGACCGCTCTGATTTAGAGCTTGCGCTTCTTGTTCGCTCTTCCTGCATGGCGAACATGCCGAAGGCGGCGGCGGCCTCTACCAGAGCAGATGACCGCAGGCGGTGGTTCGTTGTTGAGCCGCGACTCTCTGTCTCTGTCTCTGTCGCTGTCTCCCTCGTGTGGGGTTGTGTCGATCGAGCGTATCTAGCCTTCATGTGTGGGAGTCTGTTCGTGCCACTAATTGAAGGTCTCGCAAGCCGTTGAGGGCTTCTGGACGGGCCACTCAATATTATCATGGTCAAGAGCGTAGGGTACCCGCGGACTGGTTGTGCGTCTGCTCACCGAAATGGGGCGATACACATGGCGCGCTTTTTATGTCCACGCCTCTGTCTTACAGTCGTTTCGCTGGAGGGGATAATAGGGGTGGTGGTGATGGGTGTGCGTTCGGGGGGCGAGCAACCCGTTGGCGTCTGTCTATGTATGTTTTTTCCTTGGTGGTGACCGTTGTTTTTGTATTTCTTCCAGATCAATGTTTTTGTCAACTTTGTTTTTTTGTTTTGCTTATTTGGTCTGGAGTACATTCTTTTTTGTTTTGCAGAAGCTTTTGTCAATTTGATTTTTTGTTTTGCTTGTTTAGTCTGGAGTATTCTTTTTTTTTTTGCAAAAGCTTTTGTCAATTTGATTTGTTGTTTGCTTATTTAGTTTGGAGTATTCTTTTTTGTTTTGCAAAAGGGGGCAGAGCAGGAACGATTAACTCTACTTTACTTGTCCTGATGCTACGGAAGGGGAGGCCTTAAAGTCAATCTATTCGTAGGTCGTTCGGTTTGTTGACGCGCCGTCGCCCTCGCAGAGCAAAGATTCTTATGACTTGTATTCAAGTATCGCCCCCCCGTTCGACCGTTGTTGTCATCCAATCGGCAAGAGAATCGACTTTCCTTGGTTCGCTAGGGAACCAAACCAGCCAAAACAAGGCGCCGATAAAACAAGAAGGGCAAGGTTCCCTGTCGTTAGTTACTACGTCATAGTTCGAGCTGTGCTTCCGCGAGTTGTACATTTTTTTTAACGGGCGGAGTGGGAGGGGAAGGGGTGTGTGCCATCTGTCGCATCCCCAAGGTATGTATGCGTGGCGTTTGGCGTGTCTACCACTGCGACACCAGAACCTCACGCAAGCCAATTGGTGGTGCACAAGTGTGCACGTATAATATACTCCATACACATTTTTTGTTCATGCCATGTGATCTGCTTTTACACCCTGGTACCTTCGGGTATCCTTTGGTCTGTACCAGCCGGGGTGGCGCGGACAAAAAATAATACATGGTCCTACCGGGTCTGCTTGCGTTCGGTTGCGTTTTGGGTAGTAAACCGGTGACACCTCTTAATGATTTAATCTTGTGGGTGCGATTTTTGTTGGATTGCGTCGGATCAGGAACAAAGATCATCTCAGAGAGAGGAGGGAGATCAGATCGGCAAGTACAATTGTCTCAAGAGAGTGTTAAATGACGGGGTGGCGAGGAATTCTGTAGTCGTCTTTTGGATCATACAAAGTTGTAGAGTGAGGTTGTTTTAGGAACGAACGGCGGTCACTTGCTGAGGGTTCCGCAAGAGAGAGCGAGAAAAGGTGCCCGCAGTGTTCTGGTTGGTCAATTGTTTTGAAAGGAGAGTGTTTTTTCAAATTGGCCAAGAACCCCTGGCCGACCGGTGGTCAGGGTGTTCCTTCGTTTTTTCGGGTTATCCTGGACCAAACAACCTTGCTTTTCGCAACCAGGTTGCCTTCAATATCCGCTCTGTACTGCTTGCTGGTACCCACGTGTTCTCTCCCGCTGGTTCCCGTGCGGGGCGGTGGGACGGGGAGTAGTGAGGTGGCACATCGACACATCGCTCTACAAACTGACGTCCACCCTTTTTTTTCAACAGTAGGACCGGGGTGAAACCTGTTCGATGGTCGTGCTTGGTTCTTGAGATTTTCGGTTTGAGTAGTCGGACTCTGCTTCAATTGGCTTCCTTCTTGCACGAATCGATCGGCCGTCCCAGCAGGGCCGTGGTTTTGGTTGCAGGAAGCGCAACAGCGACCTGACCTGCGTTGCTGTACAAGTATCACAGAGGCGGCGCCGTGCGCCAGATTTGTCTCTCGACAGGAACAGTCTGTGTCACATCAGTGGGGCCTTTGTTTTTTGTTGGCAGTCCCGAGGGATGCTGCTACTCGTACTATATGTAGAGTATGTAGTGTTTTTGCTATAGCGGTGTGATGAGCACTATAGTGTCTTTCTATGGGATAAACATAGCAGTGGAGCTACTGCGGTACTCTGTACGCTTGTGCTTCTACTGCATGCGCCCAATGACGGCATTGGTCCCTTGTGACTCGAGACCCTGGATCCACTGCAGCGTAGGGCTGCCATCACCAGGAAAGACTTGCGTGATAAAGACGTCTGGATTGTACGACCCCCCTGAAAATGCCGACTTTCGGTATTTGGGTTGTGTGTTTAAAGGGAGGCAAGAAAGGTATGTAAGTCCACTTTTAGAATGTAGTCTAGCCTACACATGATGGGTGCATATTTGTTTTATGCTAAACTCTATCGTCGGCGTGCCCACGAACGACGGCCTCCAGCCCTACATAGCGGTGAGACGATCAAGGTGCATGCTCGACCGGCTGGACAACAACTCACGAAGTACTGCTGTAGTTGACCTCTATCTACTAGACTATTACTGTAGGCTTGTTCCCTTCCTCTTCCGACAGCGGCCCAACCGTGATGATGGCCAGTGCGGGACGCACCCTGGCCACTGCTGTAGGCAGGAGGTGGTGTCGAAGGCGAATGTTCTTCCTTCGTTAACCCCTTCTCCCTTGGTTGGGTGATCACAAGCGACAACATGGGGCACCACTAATCATTCCAACTGATGAAGTGGTAATTGTCAAGGACCCGCCCTCAGGCATCTTGATTGGTTTTTCTTTGGAGCCAGGGTATTTACCCAATAAAATACATACCTTTCGAAAGCTACGGACCAGGGCCTTCGAATGAACTTACTTTTAGCTTTCACAGACATATTGGTGACGAGTTATTATGTCCAATATACCGTTTCGCCGAAAAAGCGGCGGAACTAGTAAATCTCGATTTCCCGGGCCCCCACCACCTCTGCGAAAAAAAAAAAATTGAGCCTGTCACCCGAGAGTTGTCCCTATATTGTCTAGGAAATCGTAGACATGCTGGTAGTTTTCTCTGACCCTATGATTCCATTGTTAATCTGTCTCTGACTCTTTTCTATGATAAGAGATGGCACATCAGCCGCATATACTCCGCACATATGCATATACCAAACTGAGAATATGTTTGTAAACTGATGGAGATTGCATGTCCTACAACTAACAGGGTGCGACACACAAAACGCCCGACTACCCAACAGTACCCAACACTTTTCGTCTGCACCTTCGCAACATAATATATATGAGACACACAAGACAGCTACCAAACTGATTTGTCGAGCCTGTAACCCACAGGGGAGATGTCCCTATATGCTGTCTGGGAAATCGTAGACACACAGGTAGTTGTTTCTGAGGCTATGATTCCATTGTTAGTCTGTCTCTGACTCTTTTCTATGATAGAAGAGATGGACTCGTTGTGTCATATTGAGAAAAAAAAAAATGGAATCCTCGCCAAAAGTTGGTTCTAGATCACCTGGTTCTGAACCCGGTTTTGCCGGGCTCCACGTCGAAATCAATCAAGAGGGAAACCACTCCCGTGTGCCGTGTGCCCGCACATCAGCCGCATATACTCCTATGTATCCTCCTATGTGACCCCGGTTGGGTCGTCTAGCTAGTAGAAGTGGAGGATAGGGGCCAGAGGGGCAGACGACAGAGTCCAATGATGGGAGAGAAAAAAAAAAAAAACTCCGCACATATGCATACCAAACTGAATACACGTTTGTAAACTGATGGAGATTGCATGTCCTACAACTAACAGGGTGCGACACACAAAACGCCCGACTAACCAACAGTACCCAAAACCTTCATCTGCACCTACCTTCCCAACATAACATATATGAGACACAAAAGACAGCTACCAAACTGACTTGTTGAGCCTGTTATCCGCAGGGGAGATGTCCCTATATCCTGTCTGGGAAATCGTAGACATACAGGTAGTTTTTTCTGACGCTATGATTCCATTGTTAATCTGTCTCGGACTCTTATCTATGATAGAGATGGACTCGTTGTGTCATATTGAGAAAAATGAAAGAATCTTGTGGGAGGAATGCGGCAGATCTTGTGGGAGAGGGGGCTCCTGGTCAAATGCATGATGAGTAAGACCGGGGGCTCAGGCGAAAAGCAGGACCTCAGCAAGAGCATGGAGCACGTTCTAGGAGGAGAGCAGAAATACTTCAAGGAGGTTGATTCTACATCTAGTCTGGTGCTGTTAATGCAGCGCCACGGGGGGGCCTGTCTCATGCGTCCTGAGTACCACTGCGAGTGTAACCCCATCGAACTTGTTTAGGGACGGGCGAAGGACTGGACTCGCAAGAATTGCACGTATTCGTTGGAATGCTTGCGCAATAACGTGCCGCTAAGTTTTAGAGCAGAGAAGGATAGGCAGGCTGTTCCGGTAGTCCAGGGCTACTGCAAGAAGGCATACACACACGCCCTCATGTACCGCGAGACGCGTGTGGAAGGGCCTGAAGGCAAGAGGACGTACGTACAAGAAATACAAGTCACACAGGCGCCCGACCCCGAAGGAATGGAGACAGTAGATGGATGGCGCATTCTTGTTCGTTGAGGTGAACTTTTTCAGGCTTTTCCCCATGTTTTCTGGAGGGAATGTTGTACAAAAAATGGGTGTTTTTGTTGAAAATAGGCAATATTTTCAACGGAAGTACGTTGGCGGGTAATATAAACACGCTATAGGCGCGGCAGAGGCACTTGTGACGTGGTTGGGGGTCTTCCGGTACACGTGTGGGTGGTTTGGCAAGAAAATTATTAATCCGCTGCTCTAGGGCCTTGGTCGAGGGTTCGAGACCCGCTGCGAGCACGCGAGCACTCTTGTTTTCTTTTTTCTGGCGACTCGCTACTCTTTTGCGCCTTGCTGCGGGCGTTCCAAAACTTTTTTTTTTTTTTTTATTCGATCTCAGTCAGAAGTTATGGAGGAACAACCAAAATCGGGTCCTTGACAATTACCACTTTATCTAATCTATAACATCTGGGACGAAAAGTGTACTCGAAGTATTATCTGTCCACGATTGGAGGTAGGTGTACTCTCACCTACCACCACCACGACTGCTGCTGCTGCACGAACATGCATTACATGTAGCTTGTTCGAGCACCCTCGGGTAAGCGTGATCATTGATGGCATTCCTCGCACATCTCAAGTAGAGAAGAAGCAGACGTCAAACATATTTGGAGGTTGCATGACCCTTGAGTTGAGTGAGTAAAGGCCGTTCGTTCATCATGGTTGTTTTACTTGAGTTTAGTGTACTAAAGTCCCTCCATAAGGAACACGATCCCGTGCATGTTGTGAACAGTAACAGTTGTACCGTTACTGATCACAGCAGCAGTCTTGCTGTAACGACGTACGTACGTACACGGTTCCGCTCGACGAGGAGGACAACCACATGGCACAGCCGCACTCACTTCGAACCAGTACGTACCTCCATAAAAAAACTCTAAAGGCCTCAAAAGCAAGCATCCTATTGTGACTGTGACTGGTCCATCCCCCGGTCTCCTCCATGTTACGAACTGCGAAGGGGGTGAAACTTGGCCAGAAGAGTGAACCAATCAAAATGAGCAAATGCAGCCTGGTAGCCTGCTCAGAAACAACGCAAGGTTGATCAACGCAGCCAGTGCAACCTTCCGTTTACAAAATTTTGATATCAAGGAGAAACCGAATGTTACACAGCAGGACCTACCAAGTTTGAGCCCGAAAGGGGAGATAGATGCCAAACAAGGAAGGGTTGTTCATCAACTTTCTTCATTCTTCACATGAAGAAAAAGGAAGAAACCACACAGAGGCCCTAAAGTTGTTGGGGGCGCCTGTCCCTGATTGAAGTAGGAACGGCGGTGCGTGGTCTAAAATATGCACAGAGGAGGTCAAAAGTCAAACGTCTACGGCAAGCAAGCAAGGACGGCAAACAACGTGCAAGGTGACACGACAGAACGCGCCCTCCCCGAAACACAAAATACTACAACCAACTACACGATCATTTTACGCCCTTTTCTGACCCTGAAAGGAACACCTCTCGGTGCTACGATTCGGGTGGCCAACATCCCACCAAGTTTTTCGCAAATAAAATAAGTGGAGCTATCCTTTTTCGCGCGCATGTCCCACGCTTCTCCCTGCAGGAGGCGTTCCTTCCAACGACTTTTCCAGGAATTTTCGCCAGGAAAGACGACCGGCAGTCCTTCCTTCTGCTGAGCAGTTTCGTCGGCCTCTCTAGCGGGGAGCTATGTAGCCTTTTACGCCGACGCTGTGTCCGGTTCATCCCGGATGATTCCCCCCTGGGTGGCCACCAGCGCCAGGGACACGAGGGCGAGGGCGGTGGCTGGAATGAACCATGATCTCGCGCCGGCCGCGACGGCGCCGCACGCCGCCGCAGCTCCCAAGACTCTCGCCTTCACCGGCCTGTGGACACATGGGAGGGTGGGCACCCTGCGGTTTCGCTCCAATCGTCACAGCAGACCTTACGGCTTCGTGGGCTGAAAGGGGCTAAAATGACGTTGCGTGGATGTCAACGCGAGACGCGAGAAACTTCCAGGACTGCTGTGATCATGGCTGAGCTCAGGTATAAAGGGCGGCATATACGAGCTACAAGCTGTCAAGCGCGTGGCGGTCAGGTTTGCAGGTGTTGAAGTCATTCCGTCCCGGCTTCGCACGTGGATAAGAGCAGGGCCACCGCCTACCCACGGTCGGAACACCCTGCGGGGTGAGTGCAGCCTTCTCCTCCAGTAGCCCACGCAGGTTTTCATTCAGCAAACATATCAGATAAAAGTATGGAATCGGTGGGATTTCGGGGGATACGGTTAGGGTCTACGTTACCCCCTTCCCTCTCCATCTCATAGAGACAAACTGAAGTGCTCCGCGTACATAGACAGGCAGTCCTTCACGCCCCGCACGACCTCCCCCTTCCCGACCGGGCGATATGGCCCTCACCAACGAAATCTCCAACCAGTCGATCGGCCAATCACCTGGCGCTCTCAGCGGCGTAGATCTTCCAATCGTCGGCGTTGGGGGTGTCAGCGGCCCCTCCTCTCGTGAAAACAAACAGGCTGCCCCGCCCACCCATCCCGAGTCGAATCTGAAGGCACCGGAGCGAGAGAGTGGAGACGGGGGCAGTGCTTTGCTTGGTTTGCCGCGTTCGAATTTTTTTGCAAGGCTCGAAGTTGTTAGAAAATATATGTGCAATTGCAGGAGGACCACCCGTTCGAAGGTTCCGATCAGTTTAGCCTTGCGATGGATTGGTCTGTCTCTCTCTCTCTTTTCTCTTTTTCGGCGGCGAAACCCCCGAAGTGTCGTGATTTTCTCGTGAGCAAGCGCGCTGTTTCTTCCGTTACTACCATCTAGGGAAACCTCAGGCTGGAGATGGAGCGCAAAGCATAATGACAGCAAACCCTGCCAATGCTCCGTCCTCTCTAGAGGACGCATGGTCCATGGTCGAACCGCTAAGGCATGCAAAATTAGTATCCCCCCCCCTGGTGTTTGCCGTCGGGGTTGGGTTTTCGTCGCTTGGCAACGACGTTGTAAAACAAGCC